CTCCTACAACATCAGAGTGCAGCGCCACATTAAATACGCACTACAATGACAATAGTTTAAAGCGATTTGAAACACGTTTTTTTTGGGGGGGGGGGCAGAGCTTTGTGGCGTCATATTTGAGGGGGGGGGGGTCTGACTTTTTGTGACGCCGTGTAACGATGGGGAGGGGGTCAAAAATCGTTCAAAATCGCGTGACGTCATTTATGGACGGCCCCAAACGAAACAACACACAGTGCAGCTCAAAAACACCGGCGGAGGAAGATCACGACTCATGTTAAACTTGCTGCTGTTGCTGCCAATGATGATTATGATGTCACTGTTATTGCTGGCGCTGATGATGATCATTGAGATTATGGTTGCTGCTCATGCTGTCAATTCTGGTTAATTGTTCCGGGCTTCTGCTAATGATGATTATGATTTTGTTATTGCTGATGCTGCTGTTGCTGATGACAATTGTATTGGTACTGCCGCAGCTGATGCTCGTGACAATGTTTCTGCTGCTGATGATGCGTCTACTACAGTACTCGCCCTGCTGCATGATGATGATGATGATGTTGATTCCACTTGTATGGCTGCTACTGCTGCTGCTGGATAATTGATGGCGATCATGATGATGATGCTTCCACTGCTACTGCTACTCCTGCTGTTGCTGCTGCCGCTGATAACATCTCCTGCTGATCAAGAGGATGCTGGCACTGTTGCTGATGTGAGGTAGTAAGGCATCATGGTCGTTTACTGTTATGGCTCCTGCCGGATGGGGAACCATGATGATTGCAGTAATCTTCTTCTGCTGATGATCATGATGATGACAATGTCAACAATGTGGTCAAGTTTTCCTTGGTGGGCCCATGATTGCAACTGGCGGCCCATTTTCTAATAAACCAGCTGACATGCAAATTACTCCATAAGGGGCAGTCCATAAATGACGTCACGTAATTTTGGACGATTTTTGACCCCTTCCCCTCGTCACACGGCGTCACAAAAAGTCAGACCCTCCCCCTCAAATATGACGTCACAAAGCTCTGCCTCCCCCTACAAAAAGGATTAAAATCGCTTTAAACTATCGTCATTGTAGTGCGTATTTAACGTGCCGCTGCACTCTGATGTAGGAGAAAACATTTATTCAAAAGTATATTTCATTAAGTAGAACGTATTGTCTATATTTATTTAAAGTTGCGAATTTTGATGTGACGTCACATTTCTCACCCCCCCCCCCCCCCTCGTCACACATCGTCACAAATGTCTGATCCCCCCCCCCCTAGGTGCGTGACGTCATTTATGGACGGTTCGAACACCACGAGCCGCGGTGTCTTTCAAGCGCAAAGAAGACGAAGAGGACATGTGTCCCCTCTCTGAATTTGCCCTTGCGTGCCACGTGCGGTATAGGGCATTCAAGTCATTAACAGCAACTGCTGCAGCGCTTGAGGAGGAAGCCAAACGAATAAAATAGTCAAGACGCGAGTGGTGCTCAGTGCCGCAGGGACATCGTGCACCTCGCGGTTCATTGGCCAAAGCGTGTTCATTTATTTAATTTACTACTCTTGTTGTTTTAACTTAGATTCTTCAAACACACCTCGTTAATGCGCCTTTAATATACCTGGCCAGCGCTTACGATCTGCTGGATGAAGGCCTCCCCCATGCTGTGTTGGGAATTCCTTTTGGCCATGCTCTGCCACTCGCCACTGATGTTCGTCGTGAGCGTGAATCGGACTTCGTGTAACCGCTCCATTTATGCCACTGCTCCACCACTTCTCCAACCATGTCTATGTGTGCCCGCCGAGCCGATGCCCAGTGTCGTGTGTTGCTGCTTGTGTACATTCCAGTGCGTTTCAAGTCGCAATCTAAACGCGTGTGGGGGTATGCATCGATTCTTACGACTCGTACGCATATTCAATCACGATCATGGTTACGCTCGTTCACCCAGGAAAGCCTCAGAGTCTCGTGACAAGTTTTTTTTGTAGTCGGGAGCGATGATTGTAGGTATGGATATTGAACTTCTTTCGCACCATACGTAGCCAACCTTGCTTAATCGGAGGTATTCCGATGGAGTACTTTGAAATGAATGTTTTTACTTGGCAAATTTAGACCACGGCGCCAGCACACAATGACCTCCTGTTAGGAATCACGTGACGGGCTCATGAATGTCCACTGTGAATCAGACGGCGGCGCGTTCGAATAGCTTACGGCAGCGGTTCTTAAACGTAATCAACCAGATAGGGTGTTGACTGTTATGTTATGTTATCCGACTCTCTGTTGTATTACATTACATTTATAAGTATACTAGATTTGTGTTTCTATTTAATTTATACCTGATGATGATTGCTTGTGTTGCAATCGAAACGTCGTATGCTAGTATTTAATTTAATTTATTATTTTATCTTTATACTTGACTTTACCGAAAGATCCAAAGAATAATTCCTGCAGTCACGAAAGCTCCAAATTAAGTTTGGTTCTTAAACCTTCAGTGCAGCCTTTGGTTCTCTATCGTGTAAAACAATGTAATGATGTGAATAAATACACAGGCTTGATGACGCAAAGTAGTTGTACTTAACGTGCCCATGTTTAATTTGTGTTTAGATGATTTACCTTCGAAACGAAATCTGGCCATGTCTCGCAACCCCAAAAAGGGAAAATCGCACCCCCAGGGGGTGCGTGCACCCCGCGTTAAGAACCCTGGTTCATGGGTATTATACCCGCATAAATAATTACCAGAGCAACTGTTGGATTCGAACCGTGAACCCTTTACAACAAGCGGACGAACGTGCTCCGGATGGGCCACGCCCAATGAGGTTCAAGTGGCCTCTTGCAGCCGCGAAAGGTCGCACGAAAATAATCGATTCGTGTTCGACTTGAGATGAAATCAATGGGTCACGCAAGTGCAACACGTTGAGAGTCAATTTGAAGCCACGCGCGTCCACGTGGCTGTACGGCCGCCTCGTGGTCAAATGCGGCTCTGCACGGATCCATGAACGATTTGACGCTGTCTCCCCGATAGACCTAGTCTTCACCTGAAGACGGCTGCTTGCGTTGTGGCCGAAACGTCGTGAGAATTATTTTATTATGTTTTATTTTTATTATTTTGTTATTTCCCTTCTACGTGACTTTACCGAAAGAACCAAGAAGATGAATCCCTGCAGTCACGAAAGCTTTAAATCGATATTTGGCGATACCTCTGGGTCCCCAGCGGGGGGCAAGTGGTGCAAGAAGCAGACACAGACAACACACGTGTGCTCAACACGTGCATCAAGAACACTGGTCCTTAAATAGGCAAAAATATATATTTGATCGGCGACGTTCGGGCAAGGACCCTATTTCATAGCACATGCATAGAGAGGCCAGAGATATTGAGTGGATAATACGAGTTGAAGACTGCACGGTTACACCGTGGAGCCTAACAGGAATACAATTTGACATGTTTTCCTGTTGCATATGAAAAGTTACCTATTCGTAGATAGAGTAAAAAAAACGCTTTAAACGATCGAAAAGTATTACGAGAGAAGTTCAAAAGAAACAAGTTAAACGCTGTATGCCTTTTGGCGTCCTCTGGTCTAACACCGTTTGAGACGAGGCTCAAAAGAAAGCTGTCTCTGGTGTGGACCAATCAGTTTCAAAGACAATGCATCTATTATCAGAGGATGTTTTTTGTTTGCATTCTGACCACAAGTATTGTGGTTAATGCAGACATGGTTCCTTGTAAAAGGTCTCAGTTTGGTGTTTTAACAACTTAACACCTGTTTTGTTGCAGGAAAAAATAGGAAAACCCTATTCTGAAGTTAAACGTTTGTTAAGAAATCACACCTGATAATAAGCGCACGTATATGTGCAAATTGATGTACAGGGTGGGCCCTAAGTAACTTCCTGATTTTAAATAGCGGTATTTTGTGTAAGAAATAAAGTAGATGACGAACCGGTACGCCTCAGTTGCTTGCAAGAATAGTTGACGTTTATTTCAGAAACAATTGTTACGTTATTTCAATACAGAGAGGCGATGGCGGATATTTAAAAAAACCCGAAAGGTTCCAAATCGGCACCGTATTCGGGGGTTGATTTGCCGATTCCGGTAATCGGGAACGACGCTGAATGCCAAGCGTCGTGTTGGCAGACCTCGAACCGGTCGATCTCCGGCTTCTATTGAGCGAGTTAAGGGAGAGCGTCTATATGCGCACCTCGAGATTTCGACGAGGGGACGCTGCTCCGCTCAATTGGGGCTCGCACTACGGCCGCTGTGGCGAGTCTTGGGTACAGGACTTGCATCTATTTCCATGTCAGATTCAGCCGGTGCTAGAATTGTAGCCCAGAGACAATCGAAGCCGCCTAGAGTGTCCGCGTGCTTCCTTGACACGGAGGGTGATGGAAAATGCCGTTGAAAGAGCACGGATTTTGCCAACACACCGCAGGCGGTCATTTACAAGATATTCATTTTCACACATAATCTCAGTGAATCAAAGCATATTCCATCTGTTTGTATTTGTGTTTAATTTCATTTATCTAAAGTTATAGGCAACACAAAGCAGGCAGTTTACTTGTGGACCACCCTGTATATATATGCGTGTAACAATATGGTAAAGTCTTGGTTCTTTCGGTAAAGTCACGTAGAAGGGAAATAATAAAACAATAAAAATAAAACATAATAAAATAATTCTCACGACGTTTCGGCCACAACGCAAGCAGCCGTCCTCAGGTGAAGAACAGGTCTGTCGGAAAGACAGCGTCTGAATGAGACGCTGTCTTTCCGACAGACCTGTTCGTCGTCGTGATAATTATTTTATTACGTTTTATTTTTAGTATTTCCCTTCTACGTGACTTTTCCGAAAGAACCAAGAAGATGAATCCCTGCAGTCACGAAAGCTTTAAATCGAAATGCAACTACTTTGTTTCATCAAACCCATGTGTTTATTAACATTATACTTTTTAACGACTGAGAGCCAAAGAGCTGCAAGGCTGCAGTGAAGGTGAAGAAGCGCCAGTGCAGTGTTTCTCAAACTTGTGTCGCCCCTGGACCCCCCCCCCCCCCCCCCCGGGTGACAAAAAGCTTTCACTCATCTCTAAACACCAGTCAGACATAATGATGCATGTTACCGGGACATACACCAAAACAATATGCAGCCTTACATTTTTTAGGGTTGGCATTTAGGGTAGCTTCCCCAACTTTATTTAAAATTAAATATATTAATTGTCCGAAACGAAAATAAAACGTGAACATTGTCAATTTCCGGATCGACCTGCATTTGCATCACAGCCCGACGGACGAACCCACAGGACCCTTCGCGAGACACAGTTGCGGTGCGGCGACTAGGCTCCGAGAAACACTGCTCCAGGGGTATTCTATAGCAATATAACAATAATTGTTACGACTATAATTCATTGACATTAAACCTGTTCAGCCACAAGAACTTCGCCGACTCTCAAGGTTTATGTTCAGCAGGATCTTGTACTGCTACGTTTGAGCGATCGGCTTCATATGGGACGAAACCAGAGTATGGGGCCATCCATTTAGTACGTACGCATGGAAGGGGGAGGGGGGGGGTTAACCCAAATGCGTACGCTTGCGTATGGGGGGGGGGTCTACTGACAATGTACGCTTAGGAAACGAGGGGGGGGGTGAAGCCTCGATAATAATTTGTCTACATTGGCCTTCAAATGAGTTAGACTGTCCGGTGGTGGACTGTCTGTTTGCTTATTACACGTGAATATTCTTAATCCTTGATCGTTTCTGCGTGGATTCAATATCGGCCGTTCTTTCGGATTTGGTGGGGGGTGGTGGTGTAAAAAGTACGCGTGCGTACAGGGAGGGGGGGAGGGGTCAAGTTGACAGTTTTTTGCGTACATACTAAATGGATGGCCCCTATTGTACTCGGAGAAACCCCACCAAGCACAGATGAGTTCACGGACACAGCGACTCCCATCGCCATCCTGCCCCAACCTCGTAGCCAGCAGTCCAGTGGCATGCTTTGGGAGCGATTCACAAATCTCCACGTGATACACCAACCCCCGCCTTGCGTGCAAAAAAATCACCATTCGCGTCTGAAAGAATGGGTGAGAGTGTTGGTGTGTGGACTTTTATCGAGGTGAGAGCACAACATTAAGTGATGAATTTGAAATGTAGCAATAATCGTTTGTTTTATTTATGCTTGCTCGGCCAGCACGTGCTCTGCAAGTCCAAGTTTAAAACCGAAACAAACTTTTTTTGGATCGTCTGAACTGTTGTACCTCGGCTCAATTTTTGGATTAGTCCGAAAACTGGGTACACATCCCGAGTACATCGTTTGTACATGCCCAGCTGAAGGTATTTAGGATGGAGCAGGATCATCATTGAACATGAATATTTGTAGTTGATCCTAAGAAGAGGCCCGAGATGAAATTAGGTCTGACGATCACCCCATGTTCACAAGATTCAAACTGTCAATGCTTCATGTATTTTTTTTATTCCAAAAACTAAATAAAAGCAGTTATAACATATCACCGTTGCCTTCTCTAAAAGGTAAGAATGCCATCTTGTTTCGCCAACGTTACTTTAGCCTATGTCTCTTCTTGTAAAACAGCGTGCAAAAGTTAAAAGTGCATTAGTACAATAATAAACTGTGGTATAAAATTGTTACCTTCCATGCACACATTAACCCGCGCACGCCCGGCGCGTCCCCTTAGCACGCTGCGGGCGCGACGCCTGTTCGCCAGGAACAAGAATTTGACCACCGTTACAAAAGTGATCCGTTTTCCCGCAAGAGCTTCAAGTTTGCCCCATCCATACAGAGCTCTCATATCACCCACCACCAGACAGAACATTCACGCGGCAGCCAAAGCTCAAACCACGGGCGACCATAATTCGTAGTCGTGGAAGTGCCACCCCCCTCCATTCAATAGCCGCCATGGGGATCCCTTTGGCTTCCTCACGTGGGTCCCCCATGGCTCTTTGTCTCTCAAACTTAAAAATCGATCCCACGACTCAGCGTGCGATAAGTGCTTAAGTGTGCTCCATGCACACGTATGAGCGTGTTTTTGGTTAAAGTTGGCAAAAGCCACCCTACCAAAGTGTGGTGGTCCCATTTCTGCTTCGTTTAACCAGACGAGAGCCCAGTGACCATCATTGTTCCTCTCCGGAATGAGATCTGGGTAACCCAATGTTGCAAATCAGTTACGTTTCGCTACATTTTGTGGATTATTTTTTACTTGACCATTTTTTATTACTCCGTACGATACCGGCACATTAAAAATAATCTTTATCATCCAGAAATTGCCAGGCAACTGTGTTGGAGATTGAACCCTTGGATCGTTATAAACTGGCTCGGTGGTGAGGATAATTGACCACGAGATTTGTTAAAGATGCCACATTTTTTCGAACTGGGCAGGTTTGTACCCTCCACTCATTTTAAACTCACTGTTTAAACTCACTGTTTAAAATGCACTAAATATTAATTAATAGATGTATCTTTACATATACATACTAGTCGTTTACAAAATGTCAGTTAAGAAATGAATGGCCAGTTCAGTTCCCATGTATTTAAAAAAATATCTTCTGAACTGCCTAAAACACGACAGGTATCATAGAATACTCTCCGTATGGACACCAAGGGTGTCTCCGTTTTGTTCAGTGTCCACCCTTGTAGTTGGTGCTACTGTCTGCCCCTTCCTCAACACGTATCACTGCTCTCTGCAAGCCGCTACACTCACGCACTCATGTCCTCGCTTATGAGGACGCCATTCATCAAGAAGAGCCTCATTGGGTCTCACAATATGCTCACAGGAGGACCTTGTTTTTGGATGTTTTCCCAGTTCCGTGTTTTGAGGATCCTTTGCCTGTCAGAGGAAACCGGAGTACCCAGAGAAACCCCACCGTGCGAGGCAATAACCAACTTTCTGTACTGCCATCTCCTGGCCACCCGGAAGCCCAGCAGGTTTAAGGAGTCTGGGCAGCATATGAAGATCTCTGCGTGATCAATAAACCCTGCATCCACATGTGCTGGGCCACAGGCACGCATCACCCTACACCTGCAGAATGTATGTTTTATTCCAGTTCAATTGTAGTAATACGATCTATGGAGTCCGAGTAAATTTCTTCCCATTCATTTTGCCTTCAAAAGAAGAAAAAAAGTCCATAATCCCCTTCGGGTCAACATGGGCATCTGTTCAACACTGGTGTCTATGATATACCGCACATCCTAACCATCTATACATCTGCCAAATACAGCAGTATATGTCATGTCAAATTGACACTGTATGCAAAACACAAGGCCCACAAGGGATCACAGACTTCAAAGGCCAAACAACTTTCTTTACATAATACATGAGAATCTCTGTCACCGCATACAAATGTAAATAACGTTTAGGCTCACCAGTCTACGAATTTTGTGGTTAAAATTTTTCCCCCAGCATCGTGGTGTTTAAGCAGTTAACCCTGGACTGGTTTTGACGTCTCTGAATCTTATTAGCAGGGTGTGGCCAGTTAAACAGATCCTCCTGGGTGTCCAGTCGTCACAGACGGGGGTGTTCCACGAATATCATGGGACTGCTCAGTGCAGTACAGCAACATTGTAAATAATAAACCAAGTAGGCCATACTGAAGTTAACACCTCTTGTTCTATCGTGCATGGTTGTAAAATGTCTTGCGAAGCCCACATTGATCCCTAAAAAATATGTCCTTCGCAAATTAATATTAATTTCTGTTTAAAAAATAAACCTTTATTTTAAAAGATTTCAAAGTTTTAGAGAATCAAATGGGGGTCACAAGGCATCTGGATCACCCTGTACAACAACAGGCCGTACTGGAGCTGTGCAGAGCCAGCAGAGCCGACTAGGCGTGGCACAGGGGAGGCCCCACGTTGTTTTTCCACCGCAGGATCTGAGCCGTGCTGCCGACGTCGCCTGCAACGAAGGAACACGATGGAAATGATGAACCCTGCCCCTTGGCCCTAAGCCAGATTCATATTTATCGTGAGGCCAGGTGACCGTGGTTTGTTTTCAACTCGGCACGGCAAATAGCCAGCGGGGAAATCCACTGTGATGGTGAAAATTTTATATAAGAGAGGTTGAAGCCAGTTTAGAGTTTGTCTGCTGAAAACAAATGCTGCTGGGAAGAACTGGTACAGAACGCCAGAGGCTGCTGGCCATACCTGAATCTTATTTTAGCATCATTCGGTGGAAGAGAACAGTAGCTATGAGTTAAATTAATTCCGTAACCGCAATCCACTGTGATGGCACATAATACATTTTGTACACCTTTTTGCAGTCGGGATCATGGACGTAGAGCACAGTGACGGAAACAGCGAATATATGGTCACAGCTGTGATGACGACTCCCAGTGGCTTTGAAAGTAATGCTGGACAGCTGCTTTGTTGAGGCTGCCGCCGCAAATGCAATGTGATCCATAGATACCCCACCGATTTCTAATGACATTGGTCTCGGTGCAGTGCATGACTGGTTGCAAGACACACCTGTGCACTGGATTGTCTGAAGTGAAACAATTTGCGTGGCCCTCGCATTCACCGGACTAGCCCCACTGGCGTAGCCCCACTGACACATCCAATGACGTAGCCCCGCTGGACTTTATCTGGTCTGGTCACATCAATTACCGTGTGTGTGTGTGTGCCAGCGGGCGTTCGACACTTCACGTGGCCTCAAGGTGCACATGGCCTGGCACAAGCGTCGTGGTGACGTCACCGCCACTTAGTGGCGAATGGCGGTTGTTGTTTTGTTGATGCAAAATTATGCATCATTGTTGTAATCAAATCGCATGGGCTACGTCGGAAAAGGTGTAGTATCAGGAGCCTGTTAAGAGAGTTAACCTCGTGTGTTCAGATTGGTGGAAGACGTCTGCCGGCGATGGAATAAAACGCCGGCTTCTCTACAATTTCTCCGTAGTGTTACAAACGCATCACACTGCCTAGGTCCATGATTCTGGTGGCAAAAGTAATGTGATATTAAATGACAGCACCTTATCCTCGATTTGCAATCTCACAATCACTTGCGTGGCTTGCGCTGTTTGTGGAAGGTCTATATATATATGACTTGTATGTCCTCATAACTACCAACAATTGCTTCTGGCGACTTCAAAACAACCATGCAGCTATACATTTATACAGGAGAACCCCCTTTTTTATCCGTGGCCCTATTATCTGCAACTCCTATTATCCACCGCAGCTGTAGGGTCCGTGAAAAAATATATTGGTCATGGCACCATTTCTAACTATTATCAGCAGTTATCTACAATTTTATCCAAGATACATGGTGAAACTGCTTCCTAGCAATCACCATTATTTTCGCGCGGATAAAGGAAGCTGCACGGCAAATTCATGCTCTTATCCACAGGGTTATCCGCAGGTAATGGCTGTCAACCCATTACTCCTCACTGTCCGTTAATTTTTTCGCAGATTATTGGGAGTCACGCAAAACATGCATGCTAATATCCACGGGGTTATCCGCTATTTTTTCATTCCGTGGATAAGAGGAGTGAATTCGTGCATAACCCCGTAGATAATAGGATCCGTGGAGATAGGTGTCCCTCACATGATCACGGGTAAGAGGAGTTCTCCTGTATAAGCCGGTTTAATCGAAAAGTTTGTGGCCTGACATGGCAATTCGTATCCTCAAGGAATAATTATTATTTCCCTGTCAGGTTCTCTTATGATTTATCTTGGTCCGTCATCATCACCGTCACGATCATCGACGACTCGAGGCTTTAATCCCCAGCCAGAACAGCTGCTCATCTCGCACCTCAATCTGCTCGGAGCTTCCAGCTCTCGTTTCTTAATCGTCACAAGAACATCAACTTCTCTGAAAGTGAGTCTTTACCTGCGGAGACATGTGTGGAAGGCACTGGGGGGTGAGCCAGGTCTGGGAAGTGTGGATTTTTTGCTCCAGATGTCTCTGGATTATCTCTTGACATTCATGAAAACAACCAAAATGTGTTTTGTCTCTCCATATTTATCCATTGACGATTTTTAAAAACACCCGTAAAAAGAACACAACGCAAGCCATCCGACTGCCACAACACCGTAACGACCTCCGTGAAGGAATTGCAACCTCAAAAGTAAAGCCGTAGCGTCACGTCCCTTCCACATCAGGCCACAAAAGAGTTTTCGACCCACCGTCCCGATCGCCGCACGTACGCACCACACGCACAAATACCGCCGCCGCCGCTTCAAAAGTCCCACACGACGCGCACTCCGAGCGGTTCGGCGGCCGTCCCGTCGACGCCGCCGGCCCCCCGCCCGTAGAGGTGGCGCCAGATGGCGAAGTAGTGCACGGTGGCGCCCAGCACCACGAACACGTGCCAGATGGCGTGCGCGAACGGCACCAGCCCGTCGCTTTTGAAGAACACCACGCCCAGCGCGTAGAGGGCCCCGCCCAGCGCCAGCTCCCACACGCCGTCCTGCTCCGGCTGTCGGGTTGTTTTTTTTCGTTCAGAATGGGGAACAGAATCAGTCGATTCGGACTGGAAGGGGAACACGGCGAGCTGTGATGCTCGTTTCTCCCCACCGATGTCCAGTCGGGGCACGGGGGTCAGAACGTTACACCAACACAAATACAAAAACACGATAGAAGTGCAAAGTACAGGAAGGGTTAAAAACCGAATCAATTAAACATATATATACAAATAAAACTAAACAATTTTTGTTAATCTTACCAGGTAAAGCCCACTGAGCTACTAACTTATTTTACAAAAGCGAACTGGCCAAAGGAATTCATGTGACCACGGGGAGAACATCCAAACTACAAATATACAGACGTCAGGGTCGAGATTGAAAGGTCACAAAGACCACCCCCCCACCCCCCCGGTGTGCACGTACGAGTGTGCACGTACACGGGTGTGCGTGTACACGGGTGTGCGTGCGCGTTAAAGATGTGCTGTCACTCACGGATGAGAGGATGACAAGTGCGGGACACAGTCCCATTGTGGCATAGCACAGCAGCTCCAACAGCTTGTACCTGCAGGGCCAGGGACATCGTCATCATAATCATCGTTATCGAGGTGGCGGCATGGTTTCAGTGTGGCAATGTCACGTGAGAGCACCGAGCTCAGTGGTAGAGCGAGCAGTTCGCAATCGGATGGTCACGAGTTTAAATCCTGCTTTGGGGGGGGCGTTGTCTCGACCCTTAATAAAATAAGTGCCACTTTAGAGGGGACGTCAAGAGTGTTTTTTCCTATGGATAGATTTGCCCTCGTCATAGGAATGTGGAAATTCCACCACTCTGAGCTCTGAGCTGTGAAAACAGGAGGGCCAGCACTGCTGAGATCCTAGATTCGGTTTTGGGTTTCAGTCGCCCACGATCACAACGGCTGCTCAAGTGCGGGTGAAGTCACCAATGACTTGCACAAAAATGAACATCACGTTAAGTTTGGTTTTCCCTTAATGAATGCATATTCCATCGCTGAGAGTCACGATGCTTTGTTGCGACTGACACGTGACAAACGACTCCATCTCAACGAGCTTGACACGCAGCTGTAGCTCTCAGGGAGCAGTGTCACACTGGGCTGTGCAAAGAGAAAACGGACGCTGGAAGTTGACGTCACAGAACTATTTCCGAGGTTTCGTCGTTCGCCTTTCATCCACGCAAGCTGCACTTTCACACATTCTATTTTTAAAGTTTCAGATAAACAAACGTCAGAGTAGTTGCCAGTTTACCGCAGCATCGAAACCCCATCTGAACAGTCCACACAGAGCGTCCAGATAAATTGTGATTCAGATGACTATCTTCCCTATAAACATTAAGCTGTGATATTGGAACGAGTCCTGCCCCTTTTCTCCACTTCACGGACCTATACCGACGAGTATCGTGAAGTGTGGTAAGCAACCCCCCCCCCCCCCCCATGACCGGCACACTATCGAAAGGCCTTAATTCACCACTGAATTGACAAAGGGCTGTAAGCCAACAGCAAAGGAAAGGAGGGGGAGGGGCATGTGGACAATCGGACAGAAGGAGCATCGGACAACGCGGGGCTGGCAGGTGACGCAGCCAGCAACTGCCGCTAAATCTGGTGGCAGCGGCCCCCACTTCTTCCAGCTTCTCCGAGGGGGATTTCTCGATTGTCTCCGGAGCTGCAGCCTTGTTGTGGTCGCCTGGTGTCTCCCAACCCCTGTGGAGATGCTCCCTGTTGCTGCGCTTGTCTCCTCCCCGAACACCACGGTGACAAGATGTTAACTACCTCGCCTGGTGTGCAGGAGGTCGTGGGTTCGATCCCGACACTGACGCCTGTATTTTGGGAGTTTGCATGTTCTCTCCGTGGTCGTGTGGATTTTTCTCCGGGTCCTCCGGTATTTTCCTCCACATTAAGAATCAACGTGCGCTGAGAATATTTGTCTGCTCTACATTTCCACATTGATAAGCCACTTCATTGGGCTATCATTTGTGGCCAGGTCACTTTCCAAAAAGAGCCATTCAGCTCAGTGGTAAAGTAAAACTAGTTCATGGTGCAAGGCTTTTTCCGCGTACACGGAAAACCGATTGTACCATTCGAGTTATGCAGTCCCCTCCGCTGGCCTCCAGCCAAGTGCCGATTGACATCAAGATTGCAGTGATTGTTTTGAAGAATCTTCACGGTCTTGCCCCCACCTATCGCTGCACTCTCATCTCACTCGACTCTACGGCACGTTATCTCCACTCGGGCAAAGAAGGCCTCCCCCCTCTTTCTTACGCAGCCGCCCACACGGTAATCGACCTTCGTTCCATGTGAGGCCGTCGCTCCTTCTCAGCTGCTGGGTCTGGAATTCTCTTCCGCTTGAACTCGGTGCACTCGAGCCTCTCATCTTTTTCAAGTCAAGACTCAAAGACACACTTCTTTGCATGCACATATAGATAAAGTCTATTTTATTGTTTTAATTTTACTTAATTTCTCGTATCCATTGGCCTGTTTGTATCCAACTCTGTCAACGCTTTTTTGTTTCCTGTGAACCGTCTAGACGCGCGGTTCCAATTGTATTTTATAATATCAAACAACTGGTCCGGTCAACAGGAGTAGAAGGTCGCGGGGTTAGTAACAGAGTGGTTGATTGACGGTGTTTAGAGATGTAGTCACAATTAGTGACAGCATCCATCCAAACTGGACCGTGTTGACGCGCGACTCACCGCTAGCTCTGGGGCCTTGCTGGACTCACCTCTCGTGATACAGGCACACGTAGATGGTGCCCGCACATGCCATGACCCACACCAGCCAGCGCATGTGTGCAGCCCATGGGCCCAGCTCACGTAGATTCAGCCTGAACGCAAAGACAAAATACAAATATGACCCATGTAGCCTTTAACAGACTGTTGGGGCAAGTGCTTTTAGCGAGTAGCACCTATCAAGGCCTGCATGGCACACGAGGGGGTGGGTGGCCAGCTCCACATAACGCACGAGCAAACCGTACAAAGCATACGCTCTGGCAACACGCACATGCAATCGTATAAGTTCGTACGTATGCACGTGCATGTTTTTTTCTGGGAAATACATAATTTTTGTTGCACAAGCAACTGAGCCCATCATCTCTCTAGGGGGGCGCGGGGTCAATAAAATTAGTACCACTTTTGCGGTTGTTCTTGAGTTAAAATAACTCCCGCCACAGGAATATGGAATTTCCACCTCCGGCTCGGAGCCAATGACGGAGCGGAGCACCGCGCCTCATTGCTCGTTTGAGCGGGGGTGGCGGGGGGGGGGGAACACAGCGACGTGTGCATTCAAAAGCGGTGCGGCGTGAACGTGCGTGGCCCGCAGCGTGCACTCAGACCCAGCACGATACGTCGACGAATCGACCGAAGCTCGCGGTCGACCGCTTTCCGCCGTCGATTACTGTGGACCCTTGACACGCGGCAGCCTCCCGAAAGCGGCGAGAACCTCCGCCTCACCCCCTACGAGCGATGCCCAGAGTGGCCCGGCTGATGATGACGCCGATGCCGTCACCAAGCCCCCATCCCCTGTCCGTCCAGCGGCACGCGTGTGGACAGAGCGAGAGACCTTTCTTCTCTTCCTCCCCCAACTATTTATGCTGCGTCATCCGATTTAGTCGGGTCGACAAACCGATGATCGGCAGGGTGATCGAGCAGCTTACATAAATCGGATTTCCCCATATCTCGATCGCCCCACACGAGGGATCATGTGGGGCGGAGTAAGGAGAGAAGACCTTACCAGGGCGCGTACGAGGCGGCGATGAAGAAGTAAATGGTGACCCGGTCGCACATGTGGAAGCACTGCTCCACTCGCCTGTGTGGGAAGGCAGCCATCGTCATCATTACCATCATCATCATTACCATCGTCATTACCATCATCATTACCATAATCATTATCATTGTCGTCGTTACCATTGTCATCATTACCATCATCATTACCATCGTCATCATTACCATCATCATTACCATTGTTGTCGTTACCATTGTCATCATTACCATCACAAATTACCATCATTATCATTACCATCGTCATTTTCAGTACCATCACAATTACCATCGTCATCATTATCGCCATAATGAAATAGCTTCGTCATTTGATATTGATAGAGCCACCCTCAATGCCAGGTCGTCTCAGAGTGCTGAACACCTGGTTACTCGGAGCCTGGCCTACATGTGGGCATTAGACTGGCACTAGGGGGGCGACGTTCCCTGCGCGTAATCCCCAATAAGAAATTGTGTAGACCATAACACCAACTCGACTAGTAAAGGATGACTCAAAGCCAATTATGTAATTGATTATAATGCCAACTATTGGCTCAGGAGAGCCTCACGAGAGAGATACAGTGAGTGGGACGGCGAGGAAGACGGAGAGAAAGACGGAGAGAGACATGGCGAGTGCGCCCCGCCCGGCCCTCACTGCAGGTGGCTCTTCCTCCAGGAGATGGTGTGGAAGAGCGTGGAGACGGTGAAGAGCGCGCAAAGGCCCAGGCCGTACACGCAGGCCGTGACGCCCTCCAGGGGCCCGGCGGCGCGCCTGTGCAGCAACAGACTTCCCAGAGTGCTCGGGAGAATCCACAGCTGCGAGCGGCACAAACACCAGCGATACGCACGGAACGGCCGGCTCCGCTCAGCACACACAAACATCGTCTTGCGCCGCCGCTTGCTCGAATGGCCGTGGTTTAAAAGTCGTTCGTCTCTCCGATTATAACGCGAGGGGACTCAAGGGCCGCAACGAGCCGCGGCGTCACGCGGTTGGAATTGGCGTCCTGGTGCGACAAATGAAACGGGACTTGCGAGCAGTGTCATGAGCCCCCCCCTTCCCCACCTGTTCACTGCCCAGGTGCAGTTGCACCACCTGCACACTCTACACCTACCACACTTTGCCCACCTTCATAGGTGCTCACTCATAAGACTTTCCCAAACAGTCTGTTATGGATATCCAGGGTATTTTTGTCTTTATCGTTTGTAAAAAAATATAGAAATGGGAGAGTATGTGTGTGTACAAATGCTTAAGCCCGCATCTTGGCATAATTTTTCATGCAACATTTCAGCCACAGCGCCAGCCTTGGGACAGCTCCGGCTGCGATTGATCGCTGGCCCACGTGGTCTATAAGTTGAACACGGAGTAGCAGGCTTTCACGACCAACATTATCCATAAGAGGTTTTTTAAGCATTAGATTGCGTAAATATAAATGTGTCATTAAACCCGCCACTACCCGACACAGCCAATTGGTAAGGTTTGTCGCCTAAACAACACATGCCAATTAGTTACTACATCAGCACACCGCTGTGCTGGAGAGTAAACCCACAACATTTACAATCTGAGTACGACGTTTCGCCGGTAATTACAACTAGCATCATCATGCGACAGCCACATTTGTGGAGAAAGCCTCCTCCTGTTTCGGTCTTAAATAGAGAGATCAACGTGACGTCATCACTTGTGAGCCAATCGGGTGCGAAGACTATGGGGGTGGGGGGGGGGTTAATGTATTCATAAAAAAATCAAAGGATACCTATGATTGGTTGGGTTATTCACTTAATCAACATACATAATGTACGTACACTACGGATGGTCTATAAGGCGCAAAGGGGGATCTCTGCGTCTGTGTAGAACCGTGCGTGCGTTGCTCCTCGGGGGCGAGCGGCAGTCTCGTGGTTCTTGCAGTACTCGACGGGAACCAGAGTTCAATTGGGTTCACTTGCCGAGTTCAATTTGCCGACCGTGGCTAACACTGGCGCTGTGCCCAAACCTTCCCAAAGCCGGATTCAACTTTAAATGAGCATCACTCACAGCAATTACCCAGAACAGCACGACCTTGACATTTGGAACAAGACCGTGGTACAGTTCTTTTGGGGGGGGATTGTTTTATTCTTGTCCTTTTGTTGTTGATGCTGTAACCAGGTTTATGTAACCAGGTCCCCATCAAAAATTCACAATTGTTTGCCCGCTGGGGTTTTACCTGTGGGGAAATGAAACCTAAACGTGTGCGGTAGGGTGGGGTGGGGTAGTGTAGCGATTCGTGCGACGTGCTATGAATTCCCACGCACGGCCAACACCGGTGACGATTATCTGAACTGGTCCTGGGCCTCCCCTAGGTCGGCTCAGCCTCAATTGAGTACCTAATGCTACGTGTAAAACATTGCCACAAGGGAGACAAAGGCGGCCAGGAGTGGTGTTGGCCACCCACCCCCTCGTGTGCCATGGTGGCCTTCATAGGTGCTCGCTAACAGCACTTGCCCCAACAGTCTGTTGCAGGCTATATGGGGGATCTTTATCTTTTTTGCGGTAGGGTTTTTCACCTGTCCTGGATTAACCAGGATCATCCCTCTTGTCGGGGCAGATGCTCTCCTGGGAAATCTGTGAAGTCTTCCGGGGACACTAAAAGTCCCTGTGTTTGTGAGTTGCATAATAATAATAATACCACCACCACCACCACATCGCTCAAGACAATGAATTCACATGCAGGTCTCCCCTCCTCCGGTATTGCGAGATATTCTTCTTCAACTTCACATGCTGTCCCGGTAGTTTGTGTCTCAGAGGTGGCATCAATCTCTGAGACAAGTGCGAGTCTGGTCACGAAACGAAATGTCAGTGCGCATATTTGCGGTGTAACCGCAAACCCTTTGTCAGGAGCGCCAAAACCGGTTTGGCTGAGTTCTCGGCTGCGGGCATGGTCTACTTGGTGCTTGTAAAATGCCTTTACATAATATTCTCATTGAGCATCACGCCCTCTTGTGCCATCCCGGATTCATAAGTGATCGTGGATTGTCTTCGTCTTTGTATATTGATACACGCATATATGCATAGGTACGTACGTGTGCGTGTGAGCGTGTGCGTGCGTATTTGTGTATGTGAATGGGTGGGTAAGTGGAGAGTTGGATGAGTGAGTGGTTGAGTGGGTAGGTGAATGGAAGGTTTGGTGATTTATTGTGTAGTTGAGTGAATCTTTAAACATGTTCATAGTGTCTTCAATGTCATGTTTATTTATATTTTGTTGTTCAATCGTGCCTTTAATTGTCAGCTGGGTAGCCATCCACTCGGGCTAATGACTCTAGCTAATCTTTTTGTCCTAAATTAGCCAAACAGATGTTCATCTGAGGACACACACATGTACAAAACAAAGACAGAGATCACATGTATAGCCTTAACAGACTGTTGGGGCAAGTGCTGTTAGCGGGCACCTATGAATGATGGCATGGCACACAAGGGGGTTGGTGTGGCCATAAGCACGCCCGATGTTTGCACACTGCACCAGATACTCATTTTAGGCTGAGTAGACCTAGGGGTAGGCCCAGGAGCGATTCAGATCATTGTTACCGCTGTTGGCCGTAAGCGGGAATCGAACTCAAGCAGCCAAGTCCGTAGTGGTGCGCATGCATACATGAACACACACACAAAACACGCAAACACATGCACGCACACACACACACAGACGCACGCACATTTGGAATAGCCAAAGGACGGACTGTACGTGTATTGTTCAAGATCTATTGACCACCGCTGGGCTGAGCACAGTCATCAACTTTGCTCAATGCGTTTGCTGGCGGTGGTGGGAGCTGGGTGGGCGATGGCTTTTGAAGCCAGAGTTTGCCGAGGCCACCGTTTTCCCATCACGTCGCCCCCCCCCGCCGCCCCCCTTTTCCCTGTAAAAGAATTCTCTCTCCTGCCCCCCCCCCCCGCCTCCTTTGTCCACCACACACAAACGGCTGAATTAATGCGCACTGAAAACAACGGCGGCAGTCACAGAGCACAAATCTCCTCCTCGTGTCTGCCAATCGCCGCTCTCTCGCTCGCAGAACGCGGAACGCACCACTTCTAAAGGGGCTAGAGCAAGAAACGATCTCGATTTTCTTTGAAATATACGAACGGTATGTACGTTGAACCTCTGTCGCGCCATACGTAGTCAACCGCAGATCCTCTCTCCACGCTGTATAAATGGTATACAGATACGGATCAACCTCTTTACACACATATCATGTAAAAAAAGGTCGTGTGGTAGCGTATTTGTCGTTTGTTGCAGAGGTATGCGGTTTAAGAGGCGAGCGGCCGCCCTGGTTAACGCTGCGAATGTGTTCGCCAGCCAATATGCGGACTGTCTGCTTCACGGTGGACGTCAGAAATCCCGTGGCGTCGTTCGCAGACGAGGAAGCCCGGAGGAGGATGCCGGTGGCGAGGTCCCCGAATTTGCCAGACTTCGAAACATCGCCCTAAATATGTACTTCCTATGGTTAAACCACATCGTAACATCGCCTCCCACCCACCACCCACCCCCTGCCGGCAGGCTACAAGTGAGTTTAGCACATGGCAGGCTGTCGCGACCAACATCATCCATAGTGGAGGTCCTTTTGGGTTAGATCATGTAAATATATGTGTCGTTAAACCCGCCACCACCCAACACAGCGAATTAGTAAGGGTTGTCATGTAAACAGAACGTGGCCAATTCGTCACTAGCACAGCACACCGGTTGTGTGTTGGAGAGCCAAGCCACAACATTTACAATCTGAGTACGACATTTTGGCAGTAATTACAACGAGCTTCATCAGGCGACAGCCAGATTTGTGGAGAAGTCCACCCGTTTCGTTCCTCATATAGAGGCGTAGTTGTCGTGACCGTGCTTCTGCGCTCTTGCGCAAACAAGTGTCTGTAAGGCGTGGGGTCTCGGCGAGCGATAGCCGAGTGGGAATAGCGCAATCGCCAGACGTGCTCGTCACCCGACTTGATTCGCCGAATTTCTATTGGCTTTTCGTGTCCGTCAGAGACAAGTTACGCTTGTTCACCGGCAATGGGGATCGTATACACGTCGGTGCCCACCACACGACTTGAAGCTATTACAGAACTTTCGTCTGAGCCTGCCCTTTGAGTGAAACCAATCAACCTGTGGCCTGTATTTGTTTTGATGGGGCACAAATTAAAAAACATAGGGGGCGCGTTTTTTTTTTCATAGTTTGAAGAAGATTTAAATTTCTATCCACTTTAGGACACGACTACAATCTCGACTCGCCTGGACCAATGCCATTGAGCTGCCGCATGTAATAAGCAATCTGGAAGCTCAAGGGCATTGGCTCAAGCAAGTCTGTTTTGACAGCGGATGTCAAAATCGGTTCAGAGTTCGCTTCCATTGAACCGATGCCCCTGACATGATGCACTCCCCAGGATGCTGTGTGGCTGATGAGACGTGTAACAAGATAATGTTATTCTTCACGTGGTGGGGGGGAGAGGTATGGGACAGGGAGTGAATTGTCTGCTTAGCTATTTTGTTGTTTCGATTCTCCACAACAAGACTCAGGATTATTTTATGTTTTGTGTTAACATCTGCTTGAGTCAATCAATTTGTAATGAATGTCTATATGTCCTGGGTATGAATAAAACTATCTGTAAAACTCATGACTGGTTGTGATTTCCTCACCACTCATTTCAGATTTGCCTGCATGTAGGGGTGCTGTCTGTGTGCTGGGTGACCCAAATAGCATGCCCGGGTGACGATATGTTGACTACCTTGCCTGGTATACAGGAAGTCGTGGGTTCGATTCTGACTTCGAGGCCTGTATACTTGGAGTTTGCATGTTCTCCCCGTGGTCGCGTGGATTTTTCTCCGGGTCCTCCGGGTTTTCCCTCCACATTTAGAATCAACGTGCGTTTAGAGCGTTCGGTTGCTATACATTTACACATGATAAGCGACTTTATTGAGCTATCATTGATGGCCAGGACGCTTTTGAAAAACAGCTATATAGAGACTCATCTACTCACGAACAGTCAACTTAAGAACTTTCAGAGATACGAACAAACCTGTCCGTATGTCATGTAGATGCCACATGAAGAACCAGTGGCATCTACATATGCAGAACATAAACAACCAGTGCAATCTACATCTGCAGAACATGAAGAACCAGTGTCATCTACAGGAGATTATACAACTGTTAAAGCCATTCCCCGTGAATTGTGTACATGGCACACAACATGTTTGAAATCGACAGGAGTAAAGTTGGACTGACGACTAAGTCGACGTACGAGCAGAACTCTGGAACCTAACTCGTTCGTAAGTAGTGGAGTCTCTGTATAGTTCAGTGGGCTTTACCTGGTAAAATTGCATTTAAAAAAATGTAAAAAAAAATCAGCGAATACTGGAGCAGGAAGGGAGATAAGTTAGCCTACTATGGACACTGTCGCGCAAATTGTGTACGCAAAGAAATCTTCACGGCTGACCATTCAAGCTGTGCACTCGATGCACTCAATTGGCAGCACTGAGCGAACAGAACATCCGTTGTGGCTCGTGGGTTTTGGGTGGGAAATGAATCCTTGCTCGCCGAAGCAAAACGACAATACTGGGGGTCAACATCGTGGAAGTGACCTTCTGCTCAAAAGGGGCAGTGCACCGGAACCCATCCGTATCGGCAACCTTTAGCCAGTGGTTCAAATTCTACGTTGCTGCGGCAGCGGGCCAGTCTTCTCTATCGACCCCGGGGTGGTGTTGTCTTGCGTTTCATCCATCCCGTCGACACGATGGGTCGAGTCGACCTACGGCCGTGATTTGAACCCCGTAGACTACCGATGGTGAGTCGAGCACTCTAACCGCGGCGCTCACCAAGGTTGTTTAACAGGACGAACTTTAGACACCCCACTGGTTTCTGATGAACCTCGTGACAGCTTCTCGACAGGTGAGTGCACACTCAGGACTTGCGCAGGCTGTGCTGGACAAATTGTCATCAGGGGAGCGTTCCATGCATTTAACGAGCTGTTTGCGATTGGGGCGAGACATGTGGGAGGCTTTTGAATCACAATGCCATTATCTCTTTAGCTCCTCGTTATTTTAGCGGGTAACTGTAAACGGGTGAGCCTGCGTATACAACACAACGTCGTTCATTCATGGAATTGGCCACAGATCTCAGTAGCGGGACCCTCCCGAAACAGAGTGTCGAGAATTGTGGTTCGTGAGTGTGGATGTTACGTCTGGCTGAGTGGAGTAGTACCTAGAGCACTCGAATCACTCAGGCGACCGACGTGGGTTGAACATCGCGGCTGTGGGTCTACTCGCTTCGTCATTGGCCCAGGTCAAAAGCAATTATTTTTCAATGCGGAGTTCACTTTCAAAATGGATTTAAACACTGGACACGAGACATTTAGTCAGTTGCTGGGCAGTGAGGCCGCGTTGTGTCCACAGCTCCATACGTACGGCATGTGTCACGCAGTTCGCTGCATGCTCGTAATCTGTCGGCCGGTACCGCTCTTTCGCAGGGGCTCGCCTGTTCATGAACCTGGCAGGAGAATGAGCACAGACGCGCAAGTTAAGGATAACAGTGGCAGTAATATTCATTCAAGTAATACCATGTATTTACCCAGGAAAGCCTCACCTAGTCTCAATACATTTTCATGAGGGTCCTGCGTTAGGATTTTTTGGCATTTCAATAAACAAGCAAATGATATGACTGGATGCCGATTGATTCAGCAGACATGGCTGGATGCCTCGGAGGGTTCATAATGGCCCATTTCAGACATACTGAGTCAAACCACTGAGATCCTGGCTTCAAGTGTCAAGTTAATTTTGTTTTGTTATCACGGTTGGCAACATACGGTACAAAAGAAGTTCAACGTACATACATACAGGAACAGCATAGGCAGACACACATGCAGAGCGAGACACACACAAAGACACACAGAGCGAGACACACACAAAGACACAGAGCGAGACACACACCAAGGTGTGTCTTTGTGTGTGTCTCTCTCTGCATGTGTGTCTGCCCATGCTGTTTCCGTGTCTGTGTTTAATCATTCACTTTACTTGATGATGGTTGCTTGTGTTGCAACCGAAACGTCGTATTCTATTATTATTTGATTTTATTTTCTACGCGACTTTACCGAAAGAACCAAAGCGTAATTATTGCAGTCACGAAAGCTTCTAAGCTAGTTTGATACATGCAGGACTCAAGCAATGAGGATTTTCAAGAGTGACCTTGATCAACGAAATTCCAAAAGCAAAATAAGTAAAATAAATACAGAGATGAAGCAAATAGAAATCTGAGCCAAAAGCAACTGTGTTACAGGAAAATAAAAACAAATATCGCACAAATATAAATCAAGGTTTCATAATGCATTCCCTGTAGCGCGAGTCAGCTCGGGCAGATTAGTTTTAGACTGACCACAGCACAATTACAATTAAGTTATGGAAATTTGAAACCTATAAAGTGTGACTGTTTTACTAACATGTAAACAGGCAATGTCCAGGTCTCCGCCACCTGTGATTAAACGGTGTTCTCAGGTGTAGTGAGTTGACGGGTCTCAGTCGGGTCACCGGTGACTGCATTTAAGTACAAAAGACCAAAAGAAAATAGTAAAAGTGTATTAATCGCGGACACAAATCGTCCACTCGCCCAGGCGACGGACTGCTCTGCTGGCGTGTTGTGGACAATCGCGTGAAGAACCCTCAAGGCAACGCTAAAGAATGCCAGCGACAGTCAATGCTGATGTATTATTCATGCCAGATTGAATGTTGTCAACAGCATATCACACTTCTCCAAACTAATAATAATTTACACTTGTAATTTAGAAGTACATATGTAATCACTATAAACATTTGTGAATGATTCAGGTCTAATCTGAATGTGGGTGGAAATTCCACAGTCCTATGGTAGAAAGCAGTCTATCCATTAGAACAATGCTGACATTCAACAAAGTGGGGCTCGTGTTATTGATGTCAGATAGACAATAAAGGTTTTGGTGATGATGGTGAAAGTGGTGACCAAGGCGAATAAGATGATGCTGAGGATTGTTGATTGTGCAGATTGTTGATGCTTATGTTGGTGGTGGTGGTAATGATGAGCGGTGGTGTAGCGGTTAGCACGCTGCACTATGAACCCGGCGACCCGGGTTCGATTCCTGCTCACGGCCAACACCAGTGACAATTATTTGAACCGATCCTGGGCCTCCCCTAGATGGACTCAGCCTCAAATGAGTACCTGGTGCGATGTGTAAACATCGCCACTGGGGAGACAAAAGCGGTCGGGCGTGGTGCTGGCCACCCACCCCCTCATGTACCGTTCTGGCCTTCATAGGTGCTCGCTAACAGCACTTGCCTCTACAGTCTGTTCAGGCTATACGGGGGATCTTTGTCTTTGGTGATGATGATAATAATTATAAAAGGATATTTTAGGACGATGATAGTGGTGATCAGCTGGGTGATGATGATGATGATAATTACGATGGCTCGATGCCAAAAATCATCCATTTGATAATGACGACGATAATGACGGTGACGATGATGATGCTGCGCAAAGTCAACCCACCCCTCGTAAGCTCGTGCAATTTCGACCGGGGCATCTCTGCCGCTCGTTAAATAGCCACGCCGTTTTTCACACGGCCAGCCCTGTTGCTCGAACTGGTGCTTCGCCATTGCCCTGCGATAGACGTCGTGCTCTGCATAATTGATGGTGAGTCGCGAGCGACCCGTGGATTGTTCACGTTCCAGCTGTGCGCAGTTCAAATTCCTCTTGCAGCCTCCCGCCACCCTCCCACGAAACATGAATAGAAATAATAACGTTCAGTTATATATTTATAGCGTCGTCTTTCATGCAAATTGAATTTCGCAACCGCTGAGGAACCGCTAACAAGCGGGGAAGGCAGCAGCCGGGCGGTGAGCCGACCCTGCCAACAATTGCCCAAGCTTTACAGCCGCGTACATATTAAGATGTTTTCAGCCAATGTATTTGTGTTTCGGAGGAAACCGGAGCACGCGGAGAAAACTCATGCATAGTGATGGGGGAGAGGGGGGGCATCAGGGACAATTGCTATTAGTCTGCACTTTCCTGAATAGACACGCCTCTTTAAATATTAATGCTCCAGATTAATTCAAGTGCAGTGCCCATCTGTCCCCTACACACATCGAGTCTCTTCTATTCATGAACCGCCAGCTGGATTTTAAAGAGAGCAACCAAAACTTACGAGTGTAGTTTCATTTTTTATTTACAGCGCTTTGAGAGATACTTCAATATGAAAGGTGCTTTAAAAAAATATATGTTTCGATTTAAAGCTTTCATGACTGCAGGGATTCATATTTTTGGTTCTTTCGGTAAAGTCACGTAGAAGGGAAATTATAAAATAATTAAAAATAAAACAAGAAAATTATCACGACGTTTCGATTGCAACACAAGCAATCGTCATCAGGTGTGAAAACCACAGCAAGAAAATTTGAAAAAACCGCCACTTTTTTCCCATTTTATTGTTTAATTTTCATTATTTTATTATTTCCCTTCTACGTGACTCTACCGAAAGAACCAAGAATATAATATATAGGTTATTGTTGGTTTCCAAGTGAAGGTATATTGCGGAGAATGCCAATAATTGGACGGCAGGGTTGGGGAGGCAACTTAAAGTCAAGCGGGGCAGATTTGCATTAAATTTCGATTTAAAGCTTTCGTGACTGCAGGGATTCATCTTCTTGGTTCCTTCAGTAAAGTCACGTAGAAGGGAAATAATAACATAATAAAAATAAAGGATAATAAATAAAACATAATAAAATAATATATATTATTATTTTATTATGTTTTATTTTTCTTATTTTATTATTTCCCACCAAAAGAACCAAGAAGACAGATTTGCATTGTCGACGCGATCATGAAGAGTGGATTGCAACGTGTCTTGAGCATGTGCAGAATGGAAGAAGGGTTTGACCATTGCACGGTCAGCTCGAGGTCACGTGCTCTCAATTGCCACGACAATTTGTGCATCGATTTCCAGGTTTGCTGTTCATTCGTGATGGCGATTAGTAAGGCTACGGTGTCGTCGCAGATACTGTGAAGTTGAACAAAGTCTCCAGTGGAATCTTAGATTACGGCGGTAGCATTACATTGGATGAGGCGATGCCTTTTATTTCCATTTTTAAAAAAACGTGTCCACCAGGCGACGAAAGTACAGGTTCGAATGAGACACGGAAACGTGTGAACAGCAAAACCCCATCAGCATTTCCTGAAGAAGTGCATCGTGTGGTCCTCTGGCATTCAATCACCATCGACATAAATATGAGCACGTGTGACCGACCGAGCAAATGTGTCCGACTGACACCAGCAGCGGTGCAGTGATAGACAGCCGTGGCACCGGTTTCATCCGAGTTAGGACTCGTCAGCACAGTCCAGTATACATTCTCAGCTCGGTGGCTGTGGGGGCGAGGGAGGGGGGAGGAGTCGTTGAGGACGCGAAGAGAAAAGGGGTGGGGGAGGGTATCCCTTTGCAAACCGGGCTCATGCACATTCATGGTGAGTTGTATGATTCATAACGTTCGGTTTTCGTTTACTTGGCGACGAGAGAAAGTCAGAGAGAGGTATCGTTCTCAGGTAACCCTAGATGCCGCTTACGCACAATTGTGAATGGTGGCAGCTGCTGTCGAATTTCCCAGGCCAGATAAGCTGAAATGATGAGCGGGGGGGGGGATGTGTGTCAACGGTGCGGTGAAAAACGGCGAGCTCGGTGAAACAAACGCACTGTTGCAGTGATAACTAGCGAATCCCTTTTAAAACCAGATGGTGCACTCGCTTTTATCAGAACTATGTGTTGATTCGTGAGCGAATAGTTGTTTAACAGTGGCTCCAGGAAACATAGGTATCAATTTCAATTGTTTCATCCTAAGATTTGGTTCCGTTCGAAGACGGTACGGACAGTTTTTTTTTATGTTTGACACAACTTGTGAATTCACTCCAAGGTTCACTCCTAAATGTCAGTCATGGTGTTATTGAACTCTAGTTCACCGTGCCGGTCAGTGCGGGTTGATAAAGGGGAGGCACTGGGCCAGCTCAGAGACACCACTCGCCACTGGTGTTAGACATGGTCGGCATTCCGATGGCTTACTCACATGCATTATGACATCACAATGTCTTTAAGCAGCCACTTTAAATCAGGCTGCAATTATGGTGACGCCCTTTGGAAACGAAAGCCACACTCGGTGAAGGGAACGCCGCACATGCAACCGGGATACCAAGCCGCACGTCCGATTAGCACTGGTAGCTACGTACGGTGCGAAAGAAGTTCAACACACATACATTCAAAGCGCCATACAGATAAATGCAATAATCCATTGCCGTGCCCACCATCTGCTAACCACCTTGCCACCCAAGCCTGCGTCGCCTGGTGATCCCAGGCAATCTCCCGATTACTAACGAGGTTCAACCCACCTGACATCCAATGAGATCAGGCCTTATCTGGGGTGACGAGCCTTTTGCCCGTCCAAGGACGGGTGCTTTGCAGTAAATCTGAAACTTGCAAGCAAGTT